CCCCCGCCTCCGTCCGCCCTCCGGGCTGTGGGGGCAGGATCCCGAGGCCCTCCCCCGCCCTCAGCCGGGGCGCCCCCAGGGCTTCCTCTGCCCCCCGGATGTGCCCAGGGGCCCCCCGCCAGCTGGAAGGATCTAGGTTCACCAACCGGGTCCCCCTTGGCAGCCAGACGCCCCCTGGGCAGCGGCTGGGCCTCCACCTTGGAACCCCCCGACTTCCGAAAATGGAGCCCCCCGAAACGCGTCCTGCTGCCTTCATGGTCTTTGAGACGGGGCCGGAAGGCTGCACGCCCCCCAAGAAACGCACAGAACATGTCCCTGTTTCCTCAGCGTTCAAGTTCATTCCCTCGTTATGATTATTATTATTGTTATTATTATTGATATCCTATTTATTATTCCGCCAGGCCTGTGATGTGACAATGTGACACCCGTCCCATTGGGCCACATCCGCTAGAGTTAATATGCAGCATTGAAGTGGGCCCCTCCCCCCTCTGTCCCCCTCTGTCCCTGGATTCTGATTCTCTCTCTCTCTCTCTCTCTCTCACTCTCTCACTCTCTCACCTCATCTTCTGTCCTCTCTCTGGTACCCACACGAGTGAGCACTGGGGAGTCCCGGAACTCAGGCCACCCGGCGTCACCTGTCCCCCCCATTCCCTTCTCTCTCTCTCCCCCCTCTGTCTCTCCCGTCTTCCCCCCTCTCTGTCTCTCTCCTTTTTTGCATGATGTCTGTGACTTAGAGCTGCATCTCTCGATGGAAACTTGTCAGACCGACAGAAGCTTTTAGAAGGGTTTCTATACCCAAAAACCACAAAAATTTCATTAGAGTTTCTCATCTTTTCCTGGAGGCCCCCTCCCCGGGGGCGTGGGCAGGGCTTCCCCTTCCAGGGGACTGAGGTGGGGGAGAGGCGAGACCCAGTGTCCCCCGGCTGGAGTCTCCCGGGACCTCCTTGTCCCCAGAGCACAGGGATGGGTGGGGAGTCACCCCGTCCACGGCCCCCCCACACCCCGAGCCCGCAGCCAGGCCCTGCCAGAGCCCTCCCGGCACTCCCCGGAGCGGCTGCCCCCCCCGGGC